GAGGTTTAAAAAAGTACTGTGATTTTAATCTGATAAACATTTAAAATAACTCAGGCTCATCAACATGTAGGAAGTTTATTTATTCGAAATTTTGACATATTTACACGAATTTAAAAAAATACAATGTCCTACGACCGTTGGACTTCTTTTTCATTTCTCGATTTTACTATTTCAAAAACTGAATTTATAACTTTAAATTTATAAAAGTCGCAATAAATTAATTTTAATTTGGATACTTAATTGCATACATTTTAAAACTTAAGCTCAATTTGTGAATTCTTTTATTAACCGAGTAATTTATTTAAACAATTTAAAATAAATATGTATTTTGCAAAATTTTACTCTACTCTTATTATTATTTGTAAAAAAGTTTATGAAATGATAGGTAACTAACTTAAATATTTATGTATTTTAGTTACAAATAATATCTTTTAACGATAAATCTTACAAAAAAAAATTTCTTGGCTGAAAATCATTACAAATATATTTTATCATCATCATCATCAGTGGCATTACAGCTCATCATGAGCCAAAGCCTTCTTCAGAACAATCTTCCATTCGCTCCTATATCTGGCAACTCTTCTCCATGCTTTAACTCCGATGGATTTTAGATCATCCTCTATGTTATCTTGATACCTAAGTTTTTGTCTTCCTCTGGATCGTCTTTCCACTGGTCCTCTTCGGTCGAAAATTTTTCTGATCGTTGCATCTTCATCTCACCTAATTACATGTCCTATCCATCGAAGGCGTGCTAATTGAATACATTTTACAACGTCAGGTTCCCCAAAACTTCTGTATAACTCAAAGTTGTAGCGCCTACGCCACAAACCCTGTTCTTAGACTCCTACATATATTTTTCTTAGAATTTTTCTCTCAAAACGTTTCTGACCCGTATGTTAACACTGACCTTATTAGAGTTTTATATATAGTAATTTTAATTTTTCTGGGCAGTTTTGGGGCCATCTGTTTTCTCAAGCCATAATAGCACTTATTGGCAAGCGCTATTCTTTTTTTAATTTCTTCTCTGATATTGTTGTCGTTGGTCAGCAGCGAGCCCAGGTAGACGAAGACGAACCCACACCTTCCTGTTCCAGATCATCAATTAATAGTCTAGGTATCTGGTTGCCTGATCTAGTACAATACATATACTTCGTTTGCTGTACGTATATTTTTAATTCCATTCTCAGTGCAGACGCTCTTAATGATCGAAATGCTTCGATCAAAGATTCTGTGGACCTAGCAATAATGTTTATGTCATCTGCATATCCGACCACTTGTACAGATTTATTAAAGGTGGTGCCATTCGTATTAATATGGCACTCTCGAATTACTTTTTCTAGTGCAAGGTTAAGTAAGATACACGACAGTCCATCTCTCTGTCTCAGTCCATTTTTACAATGGAAGGGTCTCCATTATATTTCCCAAATATATTTTAAACAAATTAATGGTTACAAAATTTTGTTTAGCAATATGTTTTAATTTCTGATAAAACTGATTCTTAATTTTTCTGATAAACTTTCTTCACATTTCATTGAATCTGGATATTTTTCTTTCATTTTTTAATAACAACTTTATTAAATTTATAACTTTACAATTCTATTTATTGTCTTTAATTGGAATTAACCATAATTTTAGTTAAAAATACGTTTCACTTCAGAAATCATTCTCAAAATAGTATTATTTTATTAATAGCTGATCTATTTCTAACGAATGTAATGATGTAATTAAACTCATAAACAAGTTCATTTAAAGTTAAATCTAGTTTGTCTGTATTTTGTCTCGGTTAAGGTGTTTAAAACTTTTTAAGAATACGAAAATCGATACTACTAGAATCAATAATTACAGTCATGCTGTTTGTATTTGCGGAGAAGCAGCATTATCTTTAAGAATAAATTTAAGAATAAAATATTCTAATGCAGCCCAAATTAAATATTAAATCTATCAATGGAATTCTGAAATGCCTATTAGAGTTTACAAGCATATGCGGAACAAATTTACTATAAAATTAATAAGATAGCAGATGAAATTAATTTAGGGTACACAAAGATGTGGGTCCAGTGGACCGAAAATGGCCCAAAAAGAACCCCATAATGCAGTGGAAGGATTGTTCAGCAGGATCGAGGTAGAGGTAATGGATTTTAACAAGAGCTATGATTCATGCCGATTTAGTACACAAGTTTGGTCACATAGCCAGATATGATGAAAATAAGTATAAACGGAGAAACCTACAATGGAGACCAAGGAAGACAAGAAGTATGGAAAGAACTCAAAAGAGATAAGCAGATGACAAATGCAGGGGCAGACAAACAGTGCCATTACCTACATTCAGGAGTGGATATAAAATGGTAAAATTTTTTTTAAGATACATAAAAGCCAATAGATTAAGATGGGCAGGCCACGTGGTACGGAGTGATGACGACACACTGATTAGCAATGTGTTTTGGGAAAGACCAGATGGTAGAAGATCGACAGGAAGGCCTAGAAAAAGGTGGAAAGACGCAGTCAGGGAAGACCTAGAGAAGATGGAAGTAAGGCCATGGGAAATAATAACACAGGATCGGAATCAATGGAAGGCAATAGTAAACGCGGCAAAAACTCACGAAGAGTTGTAAAAGCCAATGATGATGATGATGATGATATAAAATGGTTGACGAAGAGAGTCCAACCTTTAAGTCTAGGATTTTTAGAGCATTCCTGGCAGTCAACTTTTTTGAAAAGGAACCAGTCCCACATCAGTCCCACACATTTAATTAAAATGAGAGTTTCCATATTTTATTAGCTACATATCTAGTTGAAGTAGATAAAAAAGCTGAACGTGACGTCAGTGCCATTAAGCAGAATTAAGTGCCTTCCTATAAAACAACTGAAGTTGTTCGTTTAGATCCTGAACGAGTTTTAAAAAAAGTTCCAGGAAATCGATAAAAACTCTGTTCATGATATTTTAGAGGACTACCTACAACAACAATGGTTGTCAGCTGCATCTACATGAAGTAGAGCTAGGTACAAGTGTAGCTGTCCCTAATGAGTTAAAAAGTTCAGATGAGGAATCAAAACTAGCGTTAAATGAGGAATCTGGTGACGAAATTTCTGAGAAAATAGATGATGAAACGGAATATTTTTCTGAAAACAAGAAATCTTACTTTTTGGTTAAGGTAGTATGAAGTATATATAATATATATAAATATAAGATTGAGTATGTAAAAATACCATATATTTATTTCAAGCGAATGAAGATGATGTCATAAAAACAGAATATGAAGTCATGATAAATAAGATTGAAGCCTCAACAGTGATAATTGATGTGTGAATTGATGAGGCTGGTCATACAAGGGAAGGTGGAACTCAAAATAGGACCGGGGACAAGATGCACGTCCTGGTTGAAGAATTTGAGACAATGGAGAGGGAAAAGGGCAATAGAACTTTTCAGAACAGCTGCACATAGAGTCAAATGTGCTGCACATAGAGTGATAATTATTGTATCTCTCTTCTTGAGTAGTGTAAATCGAACTTGTGACGTTGTGGATTGCAATTCGTAACCAGCGCATGCCGTTCACGTGGTAATTCTATATATTCTACAGAGACTACATATCTAGTTGAAGTAGATAAAAAACCTGAACGTGACGTCAGTGCCATTAAGCAGAATTAAGTGCCTTCCTTTAAAACAACTGAAGTTGTTCGTTTAGATCCTGAACGAGTTTTAAAAAAGTTCCAGGAAATCGAGGAAAACTCTGTTCATGATATTTTAGAGGACTACTTACAACAACAAAGGTTGTCAGCTGCATCTATATGAAGTAGAGCTAGGTACAAGTGTAGCTGTCCCTAATGAGTTAAAAAGTTCAGATGAGGAATCAAAACTAGCGTTAAATGAGGAATCTGGTGACGAGATTTATGAGAAAATAGATGATGAAACGGAATAGTTTTCTGAAAACAAGAAATCTTACTTTTTGGTTAAGGTAGTATGAAGTATATATAATATATATATATATATATATATATATATATATATATATATATATATAAATATGAGATTGAGTATGTAAAAATACCATATATTTATTTCAAGCGAATGAAGATGATGTCATAAAACAGAATATGAAGTCATGATAAATAAGATTGTAAGATTGAAGCCTCCACAGTGATATCTGATGTGTGAATTGATGCGGCTTGTCATACAAGGGAAGGTGGAACGCAAAAGAGGACCGGGGAGAAGATGCACGTCCCGGTTGAAGAATTTGAGACAATGGAGAGGGAAAACGTCAATAAAACTTTTCAGAACGGCTGCACATAGAGTCAAATGTGCTGCACATAGAGTGATAATTATTGTATCTCTCTTCTTGAGTAGTGTAAATCGAACTTGTGACGTTGGGGATTGCAATTCGTAATCAGCGCATGCCGTTCACGTGGTAATTCTATCTTTTCGATGGCCCAACTATAGTATTGATTTGAATATTGTTTACTTCTCTAGGTGTCTGAAAGACCAGCTCCAAAAAAATCCAGAACATGTCAAAGAAATATTTGAAGATTTATTAGATTTACTGTTTGTTAATTTCAAAAATAAAAACGAAATAAATAAAAGTATATATGATCTTAGTGAAGAACTGCAAAGAGGTCTTCTCCAGTGCGTTGCTTTTTCACTACAGCTTGATGAGTCGACGGATATCTTGCATACTGCACAGTTATTTATTTTCATTCGGATATATTATTTAAGCTCGTTTTAATAACGACAGGTCGGTCTTCGGTAATAATTGGTTTTAATAGACTAACTTAACTTAATTGTCACTGCCTTATTCATCAACAGATCCTGACCAGTAAGGTTTAACACAAAAGACGTCATGGATGTTGCATTTAAAATTGTCAACTTAATAAGAGGCAAATCTCTGCAAAGATGGCTGTTTAAGCAAAAACTGGATAACAAAGAATTAGATTTAATCTTACACACCGACGTAAGGTGACCGAGTCGCAGCAAGTTTTTGCAAAGGTTTCGATGTTTGTTAAATGACATGATTAAGTTTCTTGAAGAAAGGGGTGATAATCATCAGCAATTACGTGACTTAGACTGGCAATGTGATTTAGTATTTTTAGTAGATTTCACTGGTAAACTAAGCATTAAATCTGGAACTGCAAGGCAACAACAAAACGTTATCAGAAATGATTACATCATTCAAATTCAAGCAGTACCTATGATAGTTGATATTAAGAAGAAAAGGTTTCTAAGATTTTGAACATTAAAGATCACATGAGAAAACACCCTGCCTACATTTTCAAGCCACAGAAGTTTTTACAGCAGAAATTCAGTCAGTGGTATCAGACTTTGAAATCCGATTTAGAGATTTCAATAAAATTGAAAAGTTGGGCAATTTGATCAATTATCTATACACTGATAGTAACCACAATTTGGGATAAAAATAGTAAAAACAATTTGCAGGGATATTTCAAATGGACTAACTTTTTCTTGAAAATGAAATAATTGCTATGCGCTGCGATGTATTTTTGAAATCGAGGTCAGGTTCACATCTAGATTTCTGACCATTGGTGTACAATGACAAATATCCAAATGTAAAAAAAGTGCTGTCAACCTATTTATGTGTATAACACATCAGAGTAAACAACGTTCCAGCTTGACTAATGCTCATACGTTAAATTCTTTAAGGTTGGTTATTTTCAACTTCAGGCCAAGTTTTAAGAACCTTTTTTTTATTTTGGTAAGGGTGGAAATGTTCTAAACACCATACCATTGATCGGCGTGTGTTGGATTCAGGGCAGTGGAAAACATCCGAGCCCATTTCTCTCTGCCTAGAGAGATCCTGCAAATGGATGCCTTCCTGTTGCCGTGCCTACCAACTAAAACCACCCTTTATTCATCAAGACATCCCCGTACGTGTTCAGTCAGCGAACGAAATTAATGGGTGCCTTGCGTTGCCTGGATTGATAATGAATATTTGTTGCCAGTTCTTAGCTAAGAGCGGTAAGGAACCAGGGGGAAACTATATGGAATGTATAGGTATACTAGGTAATAATAAGTAAGTATAGTAAACAAATGTAGTACATACATATATAGACTTATCTATATATTCATACATACTATATAATGATAACCAGTTTTGAATGGAAGCGAATTGTCCCAGATCACTCTCTTCTGTCTCAGTTTCTTTCTCTGTCATGGACTTTCTCTTCATAATTTTTGTTACTTGGTCTATAAGAAATTCAAAGCTCTCCCTGCTTTACATAGCGACACGTATCAAGTTGTCAGAAAGTATTTCCCCTAGCTTTGTTCGCATTATATGTTGTTCCGACGCAAACACCCTGCACCTGAAGATACAATGCTCCGCATCATCTTCTACGTTATGACGCAATTATCATCACTGGTTTTTCGTATACGATACGTGTAAGACCTAATAGATCCATGTACTTTACATCAAAACTGCATAAAATAAAAATTTACTTGCTTGAACTTACATTTGTACCACTCTATCACATTGGGTAATAATTTTTTATTACCCAATGAATAAGAATTACTACTTTTGTTTTATTTATGTATTACGTATTACTAATACACACTGGCGAGCAATAAAACTAATCCATCCAGAATTTTAGCGTTCAAAACCGAATTGGTTTTACTCACATTAAAAATTCTTTCAGATCTCGAAAGCTGATAAAATAGTCTTTCAGAATCAGCGATTGATTTTCTGAGATATAGTGAGCGACTCAGATATTCAGCTGACTTTTAACGTTAAAATTCTGGATTAAAAGTTTTATTGCTCGCCAGGATAGTTAAGAAATTCCTAGTCGGTAGATCACAAAAATTTAGAAAGGCAGACAGTAGATCTCGAGTCCGATTAAGTTGGTCACCCCTGCTCTATTAGATATCTTAATTTTATTTTACCTTTACTTTATATGTAGTTTTATTTAGCGTATTTAGTTCATCTTAATCTCGTTTTTTTAGTAGATAAGCCTTATTAAACACCTTAACCATAAATTTTAAAGTGCTGTATATTAAAAACGTTCTATTTTACGCTAGGTTTGTTATACCGACGCTGTTTGCCGCATAATAGAGCTATATTTCCATATTTTTAATGAAATATTCCCCAAGACTATTAACTGTCATATTCATTTTATTGCTGGTGTTCTAAATATTATTTCTGAAAATAACTTTACTTTGAGTGCCACGTAATGAAGAGAACGCTCTAGGCAGGAAGTAAAAGAATGGAAATGACTACTCATATAACTTTTAATATCAAAAAATGTATTATTTAAATAAATTTTGTTAAATTTGATATGTAAAAGCTATACAATGAATTATAAATTATTGTTAAAGGTGTTATTTCTAAACTTTAGTCAATATTTTTGGTTTACGACGTCAAAAATTCTTATTTCATAGATAAAACTAAAAAATTCAAGTATACCAAAATCTTTCAGCGGCGGCTCGTAGCCTAAAAAAGTGGTGAAGACGAGGAAACCTTGCTGGAGCCAAAAGGAGTTTTGGTACCTACGTCGCGCCCAAATCTCATTAAAAATTCGTTAAAACCAGTTTTTTAACGAATTTTAGAGTAAGTATAGGGCTCTAGTAACTTGAAAACAGTTTTTTAGGGCACTTATAGGTACTAGATACGATTCGTTCTGCTTGCCTGGAGTATTTTAATTCTGAACCTTCGTTATTTCATTGAGGGTTTTTTGGGGATTAAAACACCACGCCTGTAAAACGGGTTTGTTGAGTTTCGATTCATCTGCCCACTCTGGATCAGATGTTGCAGTCTTTACTGGTTTGGTCCACCCCGAGTATTTCATTTCCCTGGTACCACCTATATCTAGTAGGTATTCCCCTATCCGCCACCTGGGGAGGCGCCCGATGGAGGTCCAACAACCTCTCACGGGATGACAGAGAGAAAGAGAAAGCGAGAGAGCTAGAGGACTAAAGTGACAAATGTCATAAAAATAATTGCACAAGCTAAATGGAGATGGGCTAGATATGTAGGACGTTTAAACGATAATAGGTAGACCAAAAGACTCATAGAATGGAGACCTAGAGAAGATAAAAAACACCGAGGTAGACCACCAAAAAGATGGATGGATGACTTGAGAAAAACAGTGGGAAATTAAATACTGATGGCACAAGATAGAGAACAATAGAAGAATATGGAGGAGACCTATATCCAAAATTGAATGCAAGAGGTTGCGGAATGATGATGGTGATGATACTAGAACCGAGGGTGAAGAGATACTTAACCAAAAAAAAAGCAGTATTAGGTAGACTAATAGAACTGACTTATCTATTTTTTATAAATCAAGTCGATCCTTCGGTCTTTTAAGAAGGCAAATCTATCAATAATATCCTCGTAGAAAAGATGCTTCTGTTCATTCAACAGTTCTTTATGAAATACGATAACAGTCAAACTGGATAGTCTATCTTGTGAAATAGTGTTTCTAGTAAAAGTTTTTAACCTTTTTAAGTATGAAAAACTTCTTTTACGGAAACGCTTGTTGATGGAATTGTCAGAATTAATAAAAAAACAAATTATAGGCTTCTGCAACAATTTCTTTAATTGGTTGTAACTTTATAACCAATTATTGCAAATTCACATTTTTGTAATTTTTTGTCGGCATAAAGAAGGCAGAGCTCACTTTTAAGTCTTTGATGTTTAGTAAATTGTGTGCCATAAAACTCAAATAAATTTTGAAAAGCGTCGGAAGGGAAGGTAAAACTGTATGACTCAAATTTTGTTGTATCTGCTAAGCTTACGAATTTTAATTTATCACAATCCTGAAAACTTATATCCATTTCCATTAAAATTTGATCATATATTTAAAAAAATATTGCTCTCTATTGAGTAGTAATTACATTCTTGCTCATACCATCATCACACCTAAACCGTTTGGAAGTAATAATCACCGTCATTGTGCTTGCTTTTTCAAAAATAGAATTAAAACATTCTTCATTTCTTTTATCACTTATTAATTGACGAGTTCTCCTTATGTGGTTTAAACAAAAATTAATATCTAGGATTTTTTTTGAAGAACATTATATAAAATATCTGTTATATGAAAAATGTTGCTAAAAACTGTTGCTAAAAATGTGAACTCAAATTTAAATCTCTTAAAAACCCTTTAGCCAGCTGAACTGATTTGCGTTCTGACTCTTCAAAATTCATTATATTGTCAAAAACCTCTTTTAATTTTTCCCAGTCTTCAATAATTACAGTGATTAATTTTGAATTAGACGACCATCTTGTCTCTGTAATTGTTGGCATACATCTAGCCGATGTAGATGCAAGAGCGTACGATCGTTTTGCTGAACTATGAAAAAACGATGAGATTCCGGTAATAGTAATAGCAAAAAAAATTCGACATTTTAATATTTTCTTAAAGCTCTGTTGCAAAACAAGATTAAGTCGATGGGCTTATAATAAAGTGCACTAAACAAATAAACTTATTACTGTGACTAAACTAAACTTATAAATACACTACATAAACTATACTATATAAAAAATATCTATATAATAGACTAAATTTCAAAATATTGTCGCTGAGAGAAATTCCCGAAAAATAGGAATACTACATACACACAAAACTAGTAGGTGAAGACGGATAGTTTATTTTTCAATTGATCTGCACTTGCCAGTTTTCTCAGCTATCACTAACGACAGGCTGACTTAACATTGTCATGGCAACCGTGAACGCTTGTTCAGATGAATTCCCCATTTCAAAAATGATATTCACCTATTCCTGAATCGTATACGGCTAGTGACACAGGTCAGGGCTTGAACGTCAAGTACCTACCGCTAATAAAGCTAGTTATCCTTTTTAATTTTTAAATTAATTAAAAGAGAATAAATAACTAATTTCAGAATTTAGATATAATAATGTTGCTTTTATTTTTTATTTATTTGTTTCAATTTAATTATATTTTTTTGGTGAACCTCACCTTCAACTACTTCACCTGCCCGGCCGCCGCTGAAATCTTTCAGGTCGACTGAGTCTTATTCTGAGTAATTTTGTAAAAGCTAGGGAAATAATAGGTGGTTAAACTCTTACAACGACCACGTTATAGTGTTTATGATCTTTGATGAAGCTAAATACGAAAAAAGAAAATTTGTCAATATTTCTGCTACTACAAAGGATATTTTTATGGCATGGAAACGTGGACTTTGAAAAAAACATCTATCAACAAACTTGAAGCATTTGAAATGTGGTCATTGAGAAGAATGATGCGCATACCTTGGGTGGA